GACTGTAGCAGGTGGGACACTTGCTGATCTTCCTCTAGACTTCTCGTAGCCTGTTAATGATCTCGGTCTTTTCTAACTTGACTGCTTCTTGATTCCTTTCCAGTTGTTTCACATGATCTTTCAAATGAGAGCAAACGTCTTCCTAATAGAAAAAGGGTTCGATAAGTCTATTTTCATGATCAGTTTGAAATAATATGAAACTAAAATCAAGATATATATTGGATTTATGGGCAAATATACAGTCATCACATAGCAGCACCACTTCTTTTACAGGGTTAAGTGCACAGGACTGGAAGTCAGAACAACTGCATGGTCTTGGTTGAGGCTTCACTCAGTCTGTTTCTTCTTTGTTATTCGCTAATAAAGGATGAATTAGATGATTCCTATCTTATTAATTATTTTTCTCTACACTGCTTCAGAGAAAGATTGCTTTTTCTTTCTTAGATGATTTCTAAAATCGCCTTCTACTCCACATTCACAAGACATGTATTTTAAATTTTGATTTTATTCAAGTCAAAGAAATGTATTACTTCTTATTTGCATTTATTGCTATTGGGATAAGTGTATTACACATATTTTAAGGAGACCACTTTGATCATGCAATTTGTATCCCAGACAGCAAGGATACAGATAAAACATGGAAATCACTGTATACAGCCAAAAGCTCATTCTGTTCAGAGACAGCCAAAAAATATTTCTGTCCTCCTAACTTCTTTTAAATTTGATCTGTTTCTTTAAGTTTCTTTCCTATCTTTACGTGTCTTATTCTCTTAATATCTCCTTGAGGGTACCTCTGCAGTGCTTTATACGTGTAAGGGCTACATAAAACACTTGAAAATGAATGACAAAGAAACACACAGGTAAACTGTGTGTGTGTGTGTGTGTGTTGTGTGTGTGTGTGTGTGTGTGTGTGTGTGTTGTGTGTGTGTGTGTAATGTATGGGAATACAGAAAATATAGAGTGCGTATGCAAATCAAGTTTCTCCAATTTGTAGTAATGAGCCACAGAGTCCCAAGCCCAGGAGACAATCACGCTGTATCACACACTGTAAAATCATCACTTTTCATTCAAATGAAGCTACGCAGGCTGAATTTCAGCAAATGTAGAGCATGGGGAGACAAAGGAGTGAATAAGGTAATTGGTTGAATGACCTAAAACATTTTTAGAAAAATAAGTGTAGTAAGAGGATATCAAGAAAATTTGCAGTAAGAGAAGGCAAAGGCCTTAGAGTTTGGGTGCCTTATTCATAGGATAACCTAAAGCCCAATAATACCTTGAAATACTAACACAAGGTCACACATAAGGTACTAACACAGAATTCCCTTAGCGAAGCAAAGGACACTGAAGTCTCCATTTTAGCTTAAAATTCATATGAATTGCATTCTACTATATGCAGCATGTTTGCTTTAAATTTTTTCTACAAATTTTTGAGCAAATGAAATTCTGGACCTGTCCATGTTTATTCAGCTCTGCAACCTCCTGGCACACTGCTGCTGATTCCCAGGCCAGCTTGAGAAGCCTGTTCTAAACTGCAAAAGTAACATGGCAAACACAATGAACGAGAACAGTACAATAGTAATAATAGCCAGGGTGGGGAGATGGTTATACTTATGTTCTGGGGTGGTCACAATAGTTATAAGCAACTGGAAATGGACAAAAAAAGTTTAAGAAAACGTAGAAATGAAAACACTGTAAAGAAATGCAGTAATTTGGTTATATGCAACAATCAATCAAATCATGCTGTTTCCCATTGACAAGTTGAGGAAACAGATTACTCATAAACTATAAAATTTTAATACCAAAAAAACAAACAGAAAAAGATGAATAGTTCCTTTTTCCATGATTAGCTTGAGTGAGAAACTCAGTTCAAGACTGATACGGGCAGACATATTTTAAGACCAAACGAGCAAGTACAATGATAAAGAGATGATAGCTGAATCTGTGGAGGGAAAATATTGAACAGAGTTCTAGTGCGCAGAAAAATGAGGATTAGACCACACAGAGAGGTCTTCAGGAGTCTCTTAGCCAACAGGAAGTGTTCAAAGTGGACCCTTAAATATTCATGAAAGGTAGAAAATAGATCATGTGAAGGTTAAGAGATAGAACCAAAGTCCAAGATTTCACCAAAAGCTGAAGATTTCAGGAGACCAGAATACACAAAGGTATTATCTCCATCAAGGAGGTTATCAGAGTCTTAACATTATATTTCTATGAACAGTTTGGAGAAATACCAGAACTCTTAGAACCGGCACACTTCTAAGAATGAAATGAGTAAAACGCAGTTTGGTAGAGAGAGTGTCCAGGAGATAGTTTACTAGTAGAGAATTATATCATTGGAGGAAGACTATGAGCTCCAAGAAGCCCATTTCTTCTATCTTGCTCTTACACACACACACACACACACACACACCACACACATCTATCGCAAGGGAAACTCAGCCAAACCAAAAAGATACTATGTTGTGAGTGCATATAATCTTTTTAACCCAGAAAAGATGATTGTTTCTTTTGTTTTGTTCTTTTTCTTTTCTTTCTTTCCTCCCTCCCTTCCTTCCTGGCTCTTTTTTTTCTTTATATTATTTATACATAATAGACCTGTATACCTCTATAGGATACATGTGATGTTTTGATACAGGCATATAATGTGAATTAATCAAATCAGGGTAATTGGGGCATCCATCACCTCAGGCATTTATCATTTCTTTGTTTTAGGAACATTCCAATTCCACTCTTTTAGTTATTTTAAAGTACACCCTAACTTATCTGACCAGGGACTAATAACTAGAATACAAGGAACTCCAACAACTCAATAGAAAAAAAATCAAATAATCTGATTAAAAGATGGGCAAAGGATCTGAATAGACATTTCTCAAAAGACATACAGATAGCCAAGAGGTTTATGAAAAAATGCTCATCATTAGTAATCCAAAAAATGCAAATCAAAACTACAATAAGATACCATCTCACCCCAGTTAAAATGACTTTTATCAAAAAGGCAGGCAATAACAAAAGCCAGCAAGGATGTGCAGAAAGTGGAACCCCTGTATGTTGGTGGTGGGAGTGTAAATTAGTGCAATCACTATGCAGAAAAGCTGATGTCTTAAGGAAAATACTAAATTAAGAATATATTAATAAATTTACAAACATGTATTTCTCAAAATACTAGTTACACAGACACTCAAAAACTCAATTGCATCATGGATTGCTACTTCTCCCATTACATGTGTTGAATTTTGTCTTTCAAAATATAATTAAACACCCATTCATGTCAAAAACTCTCAGTAAACTAGGTATGGAAGAGAATTTCCTCAACTTAATTTTTTTTTTAAAAGCCTATAGCTAACATCATACTTAACAGTGAAAACTTGAAGCTTCCCCACTAAGATCAGGATCAAAGCAAGGATGTCCCTTCTTAGCACTGCTTTTCAACGTCATTCTGGAAGTCTTAGCTAATGCAGTAAGACATCAGAAGGAAATAAAAGGTATACATATTGGGAAGAAAGAAATAAACTGTCTTTATTCATGGATGACATTATCATTCATGCAGAAAATCTGAAAGAATCAACAAAAAGACTCCTGGAACTAATAGACAATTATAGCATGGTATGGGATGCAAGATGACTCCAAAAAAGTCAATCACTTTCCTATACAGCAGCAATGAACAAGTGGAATTTGAAACTAAAAACACAATACCATTTACATTAGCACCTCAAAAAATGAATACTTACGTATACATCTAACAAAATACGTACAAGATCTATATGACAAAAACTGTAAAACTCTGATGAAAGAAATAAAAGAACTAAAAAAATGGAGAGATATCCCATTTTCAAGGATAGGAAGACTCAATATTGTCAAGAAGTCACTTCTTTCTAACTTGATCTATAGATTCAAAGTAATCCCAATCAAAATCTCAGCAAATTATTTTGTGGATATCAGAAAACTGATTATCTAAAGTTCATATGGAGAGTCCCATATAGTAGTACCATTCTGGTGCAGGATGTTGATAATGGAAAAGGCAATGCATGGGTGGGGACAGGAGGTATATGGGTAATCTCTGTACTTTCTACCCAATTTGCTGTGAACCTAAAACTGCTCTAAAAAATAGAGTGTGTACACATATATTATCTATATGTATATCTATATAGATAATATATGTGTACACACATACACAAATATAAAATTAAATATACATAAAGTCTGTTCACATCCTGATATTTAGCTATTATTCAATAAGTTTGTTAAAGCAGAATATAATGATCAGTCAATAATGTAGTTGTCCATTTTTACTAAGAACATTTTTATAAAGCAATAATATTCAACCTTTTGTGAGAGACATGAACCTCCTAGAAAATCTAAGCTCATGGGTCTTCTCCAAAAAACTGCATACTCAACCCCATTCTGATTTGGGTTGTTATTTTAAGTGTGTTGGAATTTTCCATACCTTCACATCTTTTCTTCTCCTCTTCCCTTAGTTTAAACCAATTCTGAAATTATGTTAAGACAAATGCATTCTGAAACTTTATTCATTCCCGTGATTGTCTAGGGTTCTGGAGAACAAGCAAACATACCACCTGACTTACCCTCAGCAACTTTCTTGGAGACCCAAGAAAGGATTCCTATTGGTTAAGCTCCCAAAATAGTCTCTCAAGTTCTGTCCAGCCCCAGCACACTCATTCCTTTCAGTCTGGATTTATTCTAGGACCACATGAATAATATGCATAAATACTCTACAAATAAAGGACTAGTAATGAGAGAATTGAGAAAGTACTAACCAATCCTACAAGAAGAAGAAGATGTAGGGTTTCCAAAATCATACCTTTAGGACATATTCATAGATTAAAAAATCATTGGCTTTTAAGTTTCACTCACAATCTGACACCTACTACAAACATCCATGATTTTTTATATAATGAACCACAAAATGCTGGTTTCAAAAAAAATAATAATAATAATCAGTTTACTTGCTGATAACAGTTGCTCATTGAAATCATCCCAACCTGTTCTTTAAGTGCGGTAACTGTAGCATCCAAATTCTTTTGTAAGGACAGTACTTGCTCTTCATACTTTTTTGTGAGGCCCATAACAATGCTCTCATGCTGCTCTCTAGCTCGTTGAAGGGATTCAGAGTGATGAAGGTCCACCAGTTGCTGCTTCAAGCTTTCCAGAGCCATTTCAGTTGTTCTGAATTTCTTGATCATCTGGTAAATACACACAGGAGACCCATGTTTACAGCATTTTAACTCTGTGCTCTCTATGGACTTTAACCCTAAAACTCAACCATGCTTTAATGAGAGCGGAGAAGAAGGGGTCTCCCCATATCATAGCTCAAGCCCCTTAAGATGTCCCTAGCTGGGACCCAACAGGTCCATGGTTGTTGGAAACAATATTCATTGAGAAAATACATTTTGTAGTTACCCCAGCAGAGGGAGAGACGATTTTGCGCAGCATGATGGCAATGTGGGTTTCAGGCAAGGAATCTGCAGCTGCTGTATTGGCCCCAGCGCTGTTTGCATTGCTCTGTGAGCAAGGTGTGGGGCAACCCAATTGTTAGGTCATAGGAAAATGACAACTTTTCCTTGAAAGACTGATGAAACTTGCCAATGGTCACTTACTAAATACAAAGTTTTGAAAGCTCTAACTGCACAGTTGGTATTGTAGGCAAAATAATGGCCTCCCAAAGACGCCCACATCCTAATCCCCAAAACCTGTGACTATGTTATGCTACGTGACAAGGGAAAATTAAGATGGCACATGGAATTAAAGTTGCTAATTATTAATAGATGACCTTAAGTTAAGGAGATGATCCTGGATTATCCAGATGGGCCCAGTAACTTGGTGGGGCCAGTTTTCAGAGGAAAACTGAGGCAGAAAAGTCAGAACCAGTGAGACTCAACTAGCCACTGCTGGCTCTGAAGATGGAAACGGGCCATGAGCCAAGGAACACAAGTGGCCTCTAGAAGCTGGACAAATCAAGAAAATGGATTCTCCCCTAGAGCCTCCAGAAAGCAATGCGGCCCTGTTGACACTCTTGATTTTAACCTAGTGAGATTCATCTAAGACCTCTGACCTCCAGAACTGCGAGGTAAATGCATGTTGTTTTAAGCCACTAAATCTGTGGTCATCTGTTATAGCAGCAACAGGAAACTATTAAATAATACACTTAATGATTCCATTCCCTTTATGTTTTTATTTATGCTACTCTTTTATAAATGCAGTTTCTAACTTATAAAAAAAGATTACAAAGTTATAACCTTTTACTACATAAAAGCAATTTAACTTTTCAATAAAATAAACTTCATCAGTTTTCAAAAGGTTAAAAATAATCTCTATTACACATAAAATTAAAATTTCAAATGAGGATTATTCTTCCTTCTATTCCAGAGATTGCCAATTTATTCTAATACTGCTTTCATCGCTAAGATATTTATTCATTTGCTCAATAAATAACATGAACACTTTGTGCTAGGCAGGGTTCCAAGCCCTGAAGACACAATGACAAGACAGACCAGGTCCACGCTCTTACTACTTTCATGTGGGAAGAGACAATACATATCAAGTAAATGAATGACATCACTTCAGATTAGTTATAGAGTAACAGAATACAGCATGATGAAGGTGAGTAAGAGTATGGTACTGTGGGCTACTTTACATATAAGGTGAATAGGAAGTCCTCTCAGAAAAGATGACTTTTTTTTTTTTTAGCTGAGACCTGAAGGATGAGGAGGCAGCCATGAGAAAACATTGTTTAAAATCTTTCATTAAACCATCCTCAGACTTAGCTACAAGTCTCACACCAAATCAAGCTCATTATTTTACAGTCACTTTCATTTTTAACTCCTCCCCTATTTTCCCACCCCAGAAAAAAATGGTATTACCAAAAAATGGAATCACCCACCACCAGGCTTGGCTACCAATATTTTGTGACTATTTCTAAAAATCAAATAGCTACCTAGTGATTAATCAAAGGATGTGTTACCACTTTAAAGGCAAGTCTAAACAACAGCTCCCCAAATGGTTAAGAAGCAGCAAAATCCATTAAAAAAAAAAAAAAAAAGCTTCTAGGATAACAACTCTGACGGGAAAATTTGAGTCAGAAAATGTAGGTTCTGATGCTTTGTTAATAACTGGCTTTATACTCTTTGGCAAGTAATTTGATCCAAGACTTGGTTAACTCATTTATAAAATGCCTTGCTAATCAAACTTCAGACAAATTTTTTTTTTTTTTACAAAACACGAGATGTTGATTTGCAAGATCTAGAAGTGAAAATATAAAAAAGAGTTACAAAATTTTGGAAGACTATTAAGAGCAGAACTTGTTTACAAATTTCAACACACTGTAAAAGGTATAGTCAGGATAGTATCTAAGCAGGAATAGAAAAACATATTAAAATATATATATATATATATATATACACACATACACACATATATATATACACACAGACACACACAGGTTAGGTCAATTTTGAACAACAATGTTCATTCAATATATACTGACCACCAACCTGTGCCAGGCGTTGGGCATACGTAATGGGGCTACAAAGATGAGGGCAGCCCAATATTGCTTTCAAGGTGTCCTCAGACTATTATAATAGACATGATGATCTGGCATGGGGAGAAAAGCAGGAAATACTTAGGAAAAGAAAACCTGTGGTCAGGAACTTGTCAATCAAATAGCACCAGGCCACGCAAAGGGAATTTCAGAAAGAAGACGTGACACATACAAGTACTGAATATAAAACAACAAACTTGAGTTTGAGGAGAATAAAAGAACAGATAATTATGCAAGCACAAGGTGGTCATCTTGACACCATTATTTCATCCCACAGGTAAAGTGGGGTCATTGACAGGCTTCAAGCAAAGCAATCACATAATCGTAACTGTACTCTGTAAAGATTACTCAGACAGCCATCAGAGAGAATCTGTGGAAAGGGTAAAAGACTAGATACTAGTTAAGAGACTTTTGTAAATAAGAGGGTAAAATCCTGAATGGACGGAAATGAGAAGACTCAACAGAACTTAGTGGGTGACAGGAAAACAGAGGAGTTGAGGTCTCCTCCAGCTGCCTGGTGTCGAGGGCTTGGTGGATGGACGGCAAGAAAAAGCAGGCTTATTATGGTGGAGGAAAATACAAACTTCAAAGTTCTTCTAAATTTAGTCCTACCCTGCCAAAAGTTGAGCTAAGTAACTAAGCTTTTCACTGAATAACTTTTTTTTTTTACCACAAATAATGAAGTTAAAATATGTACCTGTTCTTCATTGACTTTTAATGCTTGTATTTGGGTCTCCAGTGCTTTTATTTGTGCTTCGAGCTGCATCTCTCTTTCTTTTCCATTCTGAAAGAGTTTTTGTGATTCTTGCAGGCTGAGGGTCAAACCATCCTTTTCATCTAGGCCATAAAAATGTTTGTATAAATAATGTTACTGTAGAAGGACTCCTTGTCACAATCCCTATCAAATATCAGATCTATGTCATATGTGAATGTTGTTGAATTAAATTCAATTCAGACAAATAAACTTTAGTCAATTTAGAAAAAAACAAATAATGATTTAATTAAAAAAAAAAAAAAAAAAAAAACCCTGAGTGACACCAAAAAAAATCTGACAGAACCAGAACATCTTCCTTCAAAAATATTATTGTATCCTTTTGGGGGACAAAAGATTTCCTAACAATTTCAGCATCTTTTTTACCTGAGAAGCCACATAGATGTGACAAATCCCTGCTAATCAAAGAAGGTATCTAACACTAATGATCCTACACAGACTTGCAATGAATGCTTAAATTCACCTAATCTTAAATTCATCCCACATATTTTGCTATAACAGCTCACATCTCTCTCTAGTGTACCCCATAAACAACAACACCCTGCAGTTGTTATTTTACCTTTGATTATCAGAAGCTGGTGATTCAGATATCGAATTTGACGTTCACTTTCATTTAACTTTTCAACAAAGTTTTCTAGTTGTCTGTCTTTTGCTTTGTTAAGAACCTGAAGTTGAATAATCTGTATATTTTCTGCAGAATCTGCTTTGAAATTAAAGATGGTTTATTAGATTAAAAATATATCAAAATATAAATTTGTGGTCTTTTAAAGCAGTCTTTTTCAAACTGTGGATACAACTTAATAGAGTATCATGAAATCAATTCAGGGGATTGTGACTAGCATTTTTTTTAAAAAAAAACAAGATAGAATAAAATAGACTATATCAGAGTATACCATGTAGTAAGAATAAGTTATTATTTTGTGAAAATTTTGTTTCATTTATATACACTTGATTACATAAATATATATTGTAGACTGCATCACCATGTTCAAAAATATAATTCTTACTGTGGGTCACTGCCAGAAAACTTTGAAAGTCACTGGTTTAGGATATAAACCTGAATCACTACCATTGAGGCCAATTAAAAACAAGTATATAACAACTGTAATAGTAAAGAGTAATATGCCATCATAAAATTAAAAACAAGCACATCAGCTTCTATAAAATCACTCTGAAAGAAAATTTCTAGATACCCTTCTCAAAATATTTTATTTTAAATGGGATATAAATATCATATTAATATTTATGCTGGCACATAATTCCTGAATTAACTAATGAATAGATTAATAAAGAATTTTGAAGTCTTCTTTGAGAAACAAAGTCATTTTAGGGAGCTTCTAAAAATGACTGAATAAAAATGAAAAAAAAAATGATCGGTAGGAAGTCCAATTTTCTCTTTGGTCTAGTGCGGGTGGCCTAGAACATCCACTTGACTTTTCCCCCACTAATTAGAGAAAATTTAAAAACTCACTGTCACACTCTGGAATCACACTAGCTCTTAAACATGCATAATAATTACAAATTATTTAATAAGCCAGAGAATATGACAATAAAAATTAGACTATGAAAACACTAATTCAGTATAGTCACTGTATAAGTTCTGGTTTTGGGGTTTTGTTTTTGAATACCAGTATTTCATTTCAAAATTCTCTAGCAGAGCTGTAAGCACTTTTCTCATTCTCATATTGATAGATATATATATATATATATATACACTGTACGAATGGCAAGTGCCACACAACTAAACCTAATATCGAAGTCTAATTCTGAATATAAAGTAATTCATATCAGAGTTGCCTAATTATTAATATTACATTAAAACTGTAAAATCAAAAGAAAAAGTCAAGATGATAATGGCTGATTTATTAAGTTACATTTCTATATAATCAAAAACCTGAGATTAAAGAGAAATTTATATTTCTCGTTCCAAATTAGTCTTCAATTTTTAAAAAGGTCATAAAAAATCTTTTCTTTTTTAAATTTCAAATGAACCCTAGTCTCCTGCATGACTGGCAGGGATACTAACTACTATATAAACGAAAACGTTTTAACTAGAGTGACTGAAATATACAGTTGAGAAAAGTTTTCCTTTAATTTTTCATTATGGAAAATTTCAAATATATAAGGAAGTAGAGAGAACAGCACAATGTATCCTCAAGAATCCATCTCCCAAATTCAACAACTATGAAATCATGGCCAGTTTTGCTTCACCTATACTTATACCCAACATCACTCTCCAATAACATATTATTTTAAAGCAAATCCTAGACTTCATATCAGTTCATAAGTACTTCAGCATATATATCTCTAAAAATAAAGGCTCTTTGAAATATCAACAATTCCAATGATATACTTAAGAAACTATTCTTGAACATGTTCAAATATACACTCAGTGTTAAAAATTCCCCAATTATGTTATCAAAAAATAAATTTAATACCTACTTTCACTGGCTCCTAAAAATTGTTGCTGCAGGCCTTCAAATGTGTCACTTCCTGCTATTTCCTGGGCTGGTGAGCCATTATTCTGAGAAGACTGATAAGGATTATATGTCACTTTATATGACTCCAAAGCTTGACAACCAGGACCTTGTGATGAACCCAATTGCTATTATAAAATGACAAATGAAAGTGCCAATTAGGATTTGGCCTTTTCTTCCAAAATTATCTGAATTAAACACCTTAATTTTATGTTGCAGAACTTAATAATGGTATAATTAGAAATTTTACATATATATCTGCTCAAAAATAGTACTTATTGTTATTTAACACTGTTAATTAGAAGTCTGTAAATATATAATTTACAAACACCTTAATTGCACTTTTGAGCACATAATGGAGCCAATTTCATAAATAAAGCTCAAGAATTCCAATGAGACTGTATATAAATATTTTATAACAAATGATTTAGATGATGCCAACATCTTGGGAACATAAAAATGGACATGCTCAACAACAAGAACATGTGGAATGAAGAACATTCTACAGAGATAGAATTAAGAGAAAATAACCACCTTAAAAGGACCAAAAAAATCCCATCATTGAGTGACACAGAATAGCTATTGGCAAAATGAGACATTTGTTGTCATTAAAAAATTCTGAGAAACAATAAACTGTATCCTGAGGTCTCACTTCATTAAACTCTCCTATAGGAAAAAAACAAAGTGCTTTTATTTCCTTAATATTCATTCTGTCCACTGTCATATCATCCTACAAAACAGATATTAGCTTAGAAATGTTTAACCTAAAATTTGTTATAACTGGTAAGCAAGAAAATTGAGGGAACTCAATTCTGTCATCTGCACAGAATTACTGCTTTAAAATCTATATGAAGATACCTGAAGCACAGCAGAGGTAGAAGCCAGAGGCAACAGTAAATGAAGACAGTCAATCTTTGGCAGACTTAATTTTTAATGTTTAAATAACTATTTCCAAAGAGCCTCTATTTTAAACTTCTGACTTAAGATCATGATTGTATTAGATTATAAACAGAAAACAGCATGACTAATTCACCATGAACCTGAATAAGTACCCTCTCAAAAAGTTGTGTAGTTAAAATAAACCCTCTTACCACTGCACTTACATACATTTCTTAAACACACACAGACATCATGCGGATGCCTGTGCACATATACACAAATTCTTGAAAGTCAAGTTCTTATAATACCTGAAAATGGTGCCTTTGGGGATCTGAAAATTTAATTACATTGGTTGGCTGGTTATTAAATTCCTGTTTCTGACCACTGGTATATGGCCTAAAGTTTTCAGGAAGGTGATATAAATCAGTCTGTTCACATTTATTTGGAGGACTATAGCCACTTCCGCCTTCGTCTCCACCTTCTTCAGGATGGTACCCAGGGAGTCGGTCTTCAACTTCACTTCGATGTTCTTCCCAGCCATTGCCACATTTTTCTCCAACGTATAAACTCTGCATTTTGTTATAGTCCTGTTAGATAACAAGAGTAAAACGAAAGCACTAAGATCTATTCCCACCCTCGTCAAAGACAGGATCACACCAGATACAACTTACATTTATATTTTGAGATTTGGGCAGCACTTGATGCTCATTCCAGTCCATCTCCGATTGCTCAGGATGATGTGGTCTTGAGAAAAATCAATACTTTAGATTTAAAGACTATCGTTTACTTGGACATCGATAACATAAACAATCCCAAGATTTTAACATGTTTTCTTTCCCTCCATCCTTCACTCAATATTTTAAGAATCAGTCCTACAGTTGTATAATCACGTACATTATTATTATCTGCAGAGAATCAAAAGAAAACAACTTAGAGACTTGCAATATACAAGTGAAAGTGATTTCAGGTCCTTACTCTCCCTCTGTGCCATCGTCACTGCAGTCCGAATAGTGGAGCTCGGGGGAGGAGAGGTCATCATCCAGCATATCATGAGGAAGGTCTGTGAGTAATTGCTGCAACTGAGTCAGAAAAGTCTGCATCAATATCATCCGACTGCAATACAAGATACCAAACCAAAACTGCCTTGAAATGAGTGATTTTTGACCGTGGAAGTCAAAGAAGTTCCTCATTCCTCTTTTCATTAATTGCCTAAATGCCATACAAATTATGTTCATCATTTCACTTGGGGAAAGGGGAATATACAATGTCAGGACTTATATCAGAAGGCTTTATTTTTTTCCTACAAAGTTCTCAGATTTTTTTTATTTTTATTTTTATTTTTTTGAGACAGAGTCTCACTCTCTTGCCCAGGCTAGAGTGAGTGCCATGGCGTCAGCCTAGCTCACAGCAACCTCACACTCCTGGGCTCAAGTGATCCTTCTGCCTCAGCCTTCCCGATGCGCCACCATGCCCGGCTAATTTTTTCTATATATTTTTAGCTGTCCAGCTAATTTCTTTCTATTTTTTTTTTTTTTTTAGTAGAGATGGGGCCTGGCTCTTGCTCCGGCTGGTCTCGAACTCCTGAGCTCAAGCAATCCTCCCGCCTCAGCCAGAGTGTTAGGATTACAGGCATGAGCCACCATGTCTGGCCCTCAGATTTAAATACACATACAACAGAATTGAAAAACCTTTCTATGGAAACACAGCACACCACAATAATGGTATAATCATCGTATTATGTTATCACAGGCCAGATTGAGTCTCTGAATCCTGTTCTACCAGTAATCAGACCTTAAACACTTGACAATCAGACATCCCCTCGGGGAATCTGAGTGGCCAGATGCACTCTGCCCAGGTGATGAGAACAACAGCAGCAACAGGTGGCCCAGAAGCCCTTAAAAGCTCTGAAACCTCTTGGGGAGAGACTTAATTAGTAGACAGCCATCTAATTCCAATGATGAAAAGACATACAATACTCTGCTCTTATAAAACATTTGAGTAAAAGCAGAGTCTAAAGATTCAGTTTTCTACAGATAGAACACTCAAGCACAACACTAAACCTGAATTAAAAATTTGACTTTGCTCTATTTTTTTTTAGAAACATCACAATTTTAGCATTCTGCCTATATAAACTAGATAGACGAAATTAATTAATTGAAGTTTCAAGATAAACTATGATAAATAGATGAATAGTCTGATTTTGTTAAATTTCAATATCTGCAATTGTCTTTCTTCGAATCTCATTATAAAGTGTCTTCAAGTTCGTAACAATCAGAAGATCAAATATTATGTTACTGAATAGTTTGTAGGGGGATTGCTTATAATGATGACTTCCCTTTGAGAAACTAAGCAAGTTGACTAAGCCCCTCCAAAGTCCCATAATCAAAGCCATAAAATCATGCAACAAGTGAATGTTAAGCATGTTAAATACTCTGTAAAAGCTTGGAGAAAAAAAGAGATGCTTCTTGGTCTATGGCAGGTTTTTTTCCTCCCCACTTTCTCTGTCATTAGTATAAAAGAAATGGAATATAGCTATAAAACATACCTCTTAAGAATAAAAAAAAAACTTTCTTAAACAAAATACATATGGGAAAAGTTAAATGAACATATTTCAAAAAAGGTCTGAAAGGAATACCCCAAATTGTTAAAATTTGGGAATGGGAATGGAGGAAGTAAGGTGGGAAGGGGGATACTTCCTCACTCCACATAGATTTCTGATATTTACAACATAGTTTTCTATCTTTATTTTTTAAGGTTTTGTTAATCCGGTTGGTTCTTTAAAGACAAGAGAAAGATATTCTCTCCAATGAAAAGTTATTGTCATCTCTAAATCTGTTTGCTGCTAAAATTAGCAACCAAGACCTTGATTTACTGCCTACCTGCACATGCAGGGTGCTTGAAAAATCATTCTGAGAATTACCCATAGTCGGAGTGGACCCAAAGATATAAAGAACAAGAAACACAAAAGAAACACACTAAAAACAGAACACATCACCATATTAGTATACTATCTGCCTCAAGTGAAAGGTAGCAAAGTAATTCTACAAAGACACAAAATGCACTAGGAAAAAAAATGACACCTATGAGGTCTTTTAAAGGTAGTCCAACCTGTTTTGTCTATAATTATACACCACTATTTTAAGGGAAAAGACTACCCCCACGTTACACAGGGAAAAATAACAACAAAATAAATCTTTTATACTTACATCAAGTAGAGATTTCTGAATAGAAACAATATTTTTTTCTAAACCTTCGGTAAGGTTCAAGTACACAGCCTTGTAATTCAGAGGAACCATGACAGGGACATCTGAACAGTACATTTTTTCCCCCTCACAAAACCAGAAAAAGCTATATAATGATTAAGCAGTTATTGTAGCTTTCTTTGTGACACAACAAAATTAACAAAATTGGCATCCATGGAGGAAAATTAATTTGAGCATAGGCAATCAGCTAATCAAAATACTTCTGGATCCAGAGGTAAACTTATTAACTTGCAAAATCATGCCTATAGTATTTAGAGTCTAATAAGATATTTTAATAATATAGATGCACTAAAATTTTTAAATAGTTTCATTCACCTTCCAAAAATTTCTCCATCAAGTTCTTTGGGATAGCTGGGTCATATTCCTTGGCTTCTTTAATTTTCAGGGCAGAGAAAAGCTAAGTGAAGCGAAGATTCACCCAATTTCCAAATAGAGATTCAAAGATCTCAGAGATAGCAATCCTTATAAATGACAAGATTTAATCCCACTCATTAATTTTTAATTCATCAGACTGCTTTTTGGTTACAAGTAGCAATCTTTTCAATAGGATATTATTATGTATCAACTGAGTTTAAAAATTTAAGAGATACCTTCCCTAGAAAAAAAGATAATTTGCCACAATTAAGGCTCCAATTGAAATAAAATCTGAATCATTCTATAAACTCCTCTCCCTTTCTACTTCACATTTCTTTCTTCACAAGAAAATAAAAAGAAAAGAAAAGAAAAAAAGAGAGCATTTTACTCCAAGAACTTTGTCAACAAAACACTTTACAACTCATGGAGAACACCCAAAAAGCCTATGTTCAGGGATAATGTAAAACAGAGAACATGTAAACCTTTTGTTAGGATTTTCAACTTAAATAAACTAAACAGACTGTATTCTAAGCCTATAATCCCCTCATATTCATGAAAGCAAAAGTCATCAAATTACAAACCATACTCTTCTCCCAAGAGACAAGCAGCAAGTGGAATAGCTAACAATCATATTCCCTTTGAACAGGTTACCTCGATAAGTACATTTCTGAAAAGATTCTGATATTTAACAATATGAACTATTAATAATGCTTTCATGTATACACACTAAATATAAACAAATACTAGCTTCACAACTCCCTCTAGTGGACACAAAATATCAAAATGCTTCCATAATTACATCAAATAAGGCAGTTAGAAAGTGGAAGAAAGGCCATGCAAAGGAAACCTTGCCTCTAAAATACATGATTCCAAGCTCAATGGAGCTTTACTTTCTATTAGCGAAGTACCAATATAAAAACCAAGAGGAACCGAAATCCATATTGCCAGGTGCAAGTTTCTGTCTGCCATCTGCTACTTAAACCACCTACCATTCTACATAAGATCATTTTGAATACATCATCATTAAGTGACCCATGGTCAGTAAATACTATTTTGATGTCACAGTTTAGCAAGTATTTCTGCCACAAATCACCAGCTCCAGAATATATACATACATAAATAGATAATTTTACTAGCTAGAACCAAGCAATAATCATGAAGCTACATCTGGTGACACTGAATAAAGAGTGTGTGTGTGTGTATAATTCCAGCAGACTTTGAGATTCCCACATGACAATCTACCTTCAGTTATGGTTTTCCCGACAACTTAGGAGCTTATAAACACCATTCCTGTGACCAAGAGAACAACAACTATATATCTCTATAATATCGAACGATGAAATCACAAAGTATAGTGACTTTATGTGAAACATATTTTACAAAGTCACACTGTTATATTATGAATGAGTTAATAAAAGAGCTTTTGAATTTTTTTTCTGGTCTAGGTTTGTAAGTAAAAGTTTGCTTTGTATCAAAGCAAACTTAGTACCAAAAAGGACAAATATATCAGCAGCTCTGAAGTGTTACAGCAAGAAAGTAATACGCTTCGGTAAGTTTTGAGGAATGTGAGTAATATGTGACAGTTAATTGAAATGATATCGTATCTCCATGGTGCCATCACCCTCACTCACTCACACCCCACTCTGCTCTGTCAACTATGTAAGAGATGGAGTTTCATTTGGAACACTGTGAGAAGCTGTGAAAACATTCAGGAAAATTTTTAGAATTCCAGAAAAAAATTAAAAAGTAAAAAGTAAAAACATTTATTATTAACATGATATTTCTTAATATAACTATAATCATCATGTTAGAGTCAAATTAGCTATATATTCTTTTCTTCTCCTCTGCTAGAAATGCTTATTCTTAGATAATTCATCTTTTAAGAACTCTTTTTTCCCCTCTGGAAATTCCCTACTCCAGCAAACAATCTATCAGAGGTGATCTCAATGGCTATTTTCTATATTACCTAGAATTAATCGCCTCCTTAACTAATACCCATTTTAAAATCTTCACCACATGATACACTGGCAGTAAGCTCTAATACACTATGCATCTCTCTAATAATCTTTTCCAATGAAAAAATCACCTGTCAAAATATATTTTCTTCCTTACAGTAGTGATTACTTAACTGACCCTCTCAAGAATCCCAGTGGCTAAATCCCAGCCAACTATCCAAGCCATCACAGTCATGAAAACCTCATGTTGCAGGTTCAAAAAGTAACAGAAAATCCTCATCCCCATCCTTGCCACGACGATTGTTGTGAGGGACCCTGCCAAAACCCAGAAACTCTCACCAGGGTCACAAACTCAAATGCCCTCAGGGACCTGGCAGAGAATTTACAAGAGCAAAGCAGGCAGGTCTGAGCGCATAAGCCCGTGTCTGTGTGAGAGATGGGGACCACGGCCAGCTGGGAAAGGAGAGTCACTGCTCAGCTCCAGCCCGCACACTGCCATGTGCAAACACAGGCCAGGTGTGGCCAGGGCTTTGGATGTTTTAAGACAAGCCAGGAAACTCTGGAGTGCTCCGTGAAACTTTCCAATCATTAAATACAGATCAATTTTAAAAAGCACTGAGCAACCAAACAATACATGTCTATGGACAAAATCCAGCAAGCTGCCAGTTTTCTATCTCTACCGTAATTCTACCACCAGCCACATGAGCGAGCGATGGTCAACTGGCCCTATTCCCTTCTTCCTGTTAATACTAATGGTCCACAGCAACTATGAAAAAGGATTACTTTACATAGTAGGAAATGGGTGCTATCAAAAAATCGTCTCAGGACAAAAGGAGCATTTTATCATAGTCAACCAAGAAATCTGACTCAAACTAAAAACAATCGTACCAAGTAGACTGACTTCCACCAATAACACTACTGCTGTTGTTACTATTGCCACCGTTTGCTGAACGGTTACCGTGTGCCAAGAATGTTGCTAAACACTTTATATGTAAATAATGTGATCTACTCCTTCCCTGCTATAATCTACTCACCACACAGCCTTCCAAAAGGTCTTCCAAAATATGATCAGATATCATCCTTAACCCACTTAAAATCCTCCACGGACTTCCCGTTGCTCTTACAATAAAATACAAACATCTCATCATGACTTACCATGATCTGGCCCCAGACTACGTCTTCACCCTCCATCCACCACTGGCCGCTGGCTCACATATTCCCAATACCATGGGGCCTGCTGGCTGTTGCACAGATACACGGGGTCTCTTCCGGACTTCCCACCTTTACACTCAGTAACTTGGCCTAGAAAGCTCTTCTTCACACTGCTGCAAGGCCAGTTCCTTCTCATCAGTCAAGTATCGCCCTAAACATTGCCTCTTCCAAGAGACCTTCTTCCCTCACCTCTCTGTCTACTGCAGTGCCCTACCAATTGCTTTCATATCACCCTAGTTTGTTTCCCTATCGTTTATCCGTGATAAATTATCACTCAAATGACTTTATCTACTCATTTACTTGTTTACTGTCTGCCTCCACTAGGATGTAAACTACCTGAAGCAAAGAGCCTTGTCAGACTCGTTCACAGCAATGTTCCAAGCACCTAGAAACTAGGCCTCTGCTTCCAAAGCCAACCATCACCTCCTAAATGAAAAGATCTTTAAAGATTTAACCACTTATCTGATGGCATCATGCACAGCTGTGTTTTGTTGTCTCAAAAAAGAAAGCGTTCCACTCGTCCACCTTTTACAAGTCCAAATATTGATCAGGTTTTAGGGTTGTTTTGTTTTTTAAAAAAGGAAAAAAATAATTATAAATCCCTTCAAAATGGCGCAAGATGATATAATTTTGATCAGGGAATAAAAGTTGTTAAGAATTGGGTTTTTAGGTTCTTTCTCTGAGTGACATACCTCTTTCTCCCTTTCGTAGTCTTCTTTGTCATATTCTTCGTCTTCATTTTGTGTCGGCAATGCCACACTGCCAAAGTCTAATGACATGGTCCTCCTGTGGGAAGAGGAAGATGTTTGGTTTCTAAATATCCCATTAAATCTCCCCAGAACAATTACATAAGAGATGCCATACACAAAGTCAAAAGACAACAATAGGTTATGAGTTTCATAATTCATGTAGAAAAATACAAATTAATTATGACTAATAGAAAATAGCCATATGATGGCCATTCATAGAAAAGAAAAAAATGCAAGGCCCAGCACAGTGTCTCATGCCTGTAATCCTAGCACTCTGGGAGGCTGGGCAGGGAGGATTGCTTGAGGGCAAGAGTTCGAGACCAGCCTGAGCAAGAGTGAAACCCCGTCTCTACAAAAAAAGAGAAAAATTAGCCAGGTGTGGTGGTGCATATATGTAGTTCCAGCTACTAGGGTACTCAGGAGGCTGAGGCAGGAGAATCACTTGAGCCCAGGAGTTTGAGGTTGCAGTGAGCTATGATACCACCCCTGCACTCTAGTCCAAATGACAGAGCAAAGCCCTATCTCAAAAAAAAAAAAAAAGAAAGAAAGAAAAGAAAAAAATGCAAATATATAATAAAACTATGAACAGACTTTTCTACTAATCTGTAAAGTATAATTCAAAAGAGTAAGACTTTTGCCCACACAAAAAAATAAGATGGCAATAATAATAAACTAGAAATGTACCAAACATGAAAATCTTAAGAATAAGCTCAAACAAAATTTCACATTTGATGTATTAAACATGGCACAGGTAGTATTCTCTATACTTTGCTTCTTTGAACATCACAAATCCAAACTTCATGCTTTCCAAAAAGAGGGCTCCTAAATCCTGCGTTAATGATTGCTAACCCAGAAAACATTTACGACCTGGTAAACTCCATAGAGCGAACAACAAAAATATAAGTGTTAAATGTCCTGCCCTTCAACTTGATAAAATCAGGTTCTGGCAAGATACTCAAGGAAAACAGAAGGGAAGGCTGTGAAGCTACACCACTGTGGAGTTCTGATTCCAAAAGCAACAGCAAGAGCTCCCGGGGGAACAGGCACTGCTGTGGCAGACGCAGCAGCAGGAAATGGGTTTTCAACTACTTACAGTCAAAAAGGCAGCTGCTGATTTAAATTATGCTTAGGGATCCTGACACTACACATAACCACCCCCCCCCCAGAACTTCAAAGCTCTGAACAATCCTGACAAAAAAACAAAAAAAAAAGCAGACAGGTGTCATCAATTACCTGGCCTAACACTTGCTCTGCATTCAGTCCACTGTCGTGAAATGCACTCGGACGTGGGCCTGAGCCACAACTCATTCACTATACCTTTCAGGCTCTGAAATGTCATTAAATTGGAATTAGGAGCATAGAGACCCAGAAATTCCAGTGGATCTTACCATAAAGAACTTAGCTCCCTTGTGTTACCAGTGGAAAACTATATCACAAACTTTTACATAAGCCCAGAGCTCCAAAGCAGAAGATATTCCATTTCATCAGATCTAACGCACCCTTGATTCTAGGAAGCAGTTCTATTTGTTCCACTAAGAAAAAGAGGGAGCCAATTAAAATTATGACACATCATTAATTTTAAAATGCAGCATATCTTGTAGATGTGAAAATGTGAAAAGAAAATGTGCAAGTCAGAATAAATATGGCATCAAAGATTAACAGAAATATGAACTTGGGTGCTAAAAATCTCCATAGGTCAAATTTTTGTTTTTCAAAGACTGAATTACGTTTCTTGGCCAAGCTCGAATTTGCTGTCCACCTTCTAATCTTTTCCTCTCTGGTCCTTACACCTCGCCCATCCCTTTCAACTCACATCAACTCAAACTCTTCACATCAACTTAAAACCCTTCCAGCCTCTGCTACTTAGACCAGACCTATTCCTTTCTGTTCTGGTGCCAGGCTAAAGGGAGAAGGGACATGCATACTCTTTCACTGAGGGGGAAATATAAACATAACTAACTCTACCTAAAAGAATCCTCTTGTAAACGAGCATAAGATGAAGATCTGAATATGGTAAAGAGTCTATAATATAGCTGAAATAATGAGAGAAAACACATAATCTCATGCCTCTAGGTTCTTTCACTACTGCAAGTGAACTTGATAGCCTACAGAACATTGTGCCTAGATAATGAAAATACTAGCCCATTTAAATGCCATCTCCTTAAAAGAGATGAGATTAAGCTGGCCCTTAAAGACATTTTTTAATTTTTTAGGAAGAAACAAACCTTTCTGCTTCTGAATTCTTACTGTGTTCTCTACCTCTTCTTGTATGTAACTATAAATACAAGACAAAATATGGAATTGGGGTTAATTTCTCCTTTATTAGGTAAGAGAAGGCAGATTTTTTCCAGTCCTTCACATTAACCTGCCATCAATTGTTAAAGGGATTTTTAAGGGAAGAGAATACAAAAAAACGAAATGTATTTTTTAATGGCATTTTTAATCCAAACCATGTCATTAAAGAAGAAATCTGAAAGTATCTGAAAAGACCAAAATCTCCTCCATCTGGGAAGAAAAGGTATAAATAAAATCCTCCTGAAAAGTGTACTACCAGAGACATTAAGAAACAATTTTAGAAATAAAGGGAAATCTGATTGACTTACTGTGTTTATAAAAAAAAAAAAACTAAAAAAGGAAATTAGTATTTCAAATGATATTTAAAATAAAAGCTAATGTTTTTCTTTAACTTATTAATCACCACTAATTACCACCACTATCAGAGACCTTAATATTTAGAATAAAAGAGATGGCTTTAAAAAAATTGCAAGATGGTAAATTCTGAAGCCATAAAGGAAAAACTTGATGAAAATCTAACTATGAAAATAAAATTTGTTTAAGGCAAAGATATTATTAACAACTCAAATATTAAGTATGGAAAAATACATCACTAATAAAGTCAAAAGTTAAAATAATAAATAATGAGAAAAATATTTTTAAAACACATGACAAAAATCCCAACATATAATTCTTTCAAAGAAATGAAAAAAAGACAAACAACCCAATTTAAAAATGGGAAACTGGCATGACAATTTATTAAAAAAAGAAATGTAGGCTGGCGCGGTGGCTCACGCCTGTAGTCCTAGCACTCTGGGAGGCCGAGGCAGGCGGATTGCTCAAGGTTAGGAGTTCAAAACCAGCCTGAGCGAGACCCCGTCTCTACTATAAAAAAATAGAAAGAAATTAATTGGCCAACTAACATATATATATAAAAAATTAGCCAGGCATGGTGGCGCATACCTGTAGTCCCAGCTACTCAGGGGGCTGAGGCAGGAGGATTGCTTAAGCCCAGGAGTTTGAGGTTGCTATGAGCTAGGCTGACAGCACAGCACTCACTCTAGCCTGGGCAACAAAGCGAGACTCTGTCTCAAAAAAAAAGGAAATGTAAATGCTCAATTAACTTGAAAAGATGATTGAGTTCATGGAGTTTCAAAGAAGTGCTATCTAAACAACAACAAAATGTCATTTTCAACCACTCGATTGAAAAAAAAAACTGTTGACACCCAATGTGTTTTGTATGGCTCATGAGTTACTGGTGAAAATGTGAACTGCTAAAACTATCTTGAAAATTATCAATATTAATATATTGAAAATGAACATATGCCCTAGTGAAATTGCTTTATAATTAATTTGGCAATACTATGCCACTAGTAAAAATACTAAAATATTTCTATATTTATTGCCTCAGAGGGCTGACCATTTAAAAAATCAAGAGTCAGAATAAATGTACAGTATGCATCTTTAAATATAATAGTCTAGTAGAGACTTTCTTCCTAGCTAGAAAACTTTTTCTGAACCCATTAATAAGACTATAAAAAGTATGTCCTTTTGTTCTCTCAGATCTGTACACACAGTGCTCTGACCCAGCACTCCTTTTGTTGTCCCTGGTTATGTTTTCTCTGGCCTCCTTGCAACAAGAAGACCAATGAGTGTTTAGCTGGACAAAAGATTACAAAGCAAATATAACATTGCTTTTGCCTCATCTAATAAACTATAACACCCTAGAGGCAGAACTAAAACGTATCTGCCCCCTTGTACATGGTAGGAACACAAGAAATACTTCTTGACTGAATATAATATATGCATGTTACCCTATATTTCAATAATATTTTTAAATAAAATTTCACCAAGCATCTACTGTGTGCCAGATTAAATCCTAGATGCATCTAAAATATGGTACCAGCCACAGGAGCTCACAGTCTCTTAGAGAGACAATGATACAAATTAATACTTACAATAATACATTGTAATAAATTCCATAGTAGAGGAAAGTACAAAGCACAAATTAATTATACCTATGAAAGGAAGGCTTAGAGAAGTTTACAGAAAGAAAAGACTTTAGATTAGAAATAAACCTTAAAGGACACACTATGGGTGCAAGTGGCTAAAGAATGAGGGCTCCACTCATCAGACAACCTGGGCTCAATTCTGGCTCCTCTATTGATCAGCTGTACCATTTTGAGCAAATGGTTTCTATTTCTTTGTTAATGAAATGGGAGTAAAAACAGAACCTCAAAGTACATATAAAGTACTTAGCACTATGTAACAATCAATACATTTTAGTTTTATTACTATTATGACATTATTACTGATGAATAGGGTGCTATGGAAGCACAGCTATGGAAGGGTTAAGGAAACAAAGAGATTCGGCATATCTGAAAAAAGTTAAATGTGCAGGCTGTGGGAAATCTTACTTCAAGTAATGCAACCTCCTCTGGAACAAAACTGCCACCTCCCTTCAAGATGCCACTTCCATTCCTGCTCCCTTATGGAATTAATCACTCCGCTGCACTTGCAGACTGTATTTCTTACAACTTTTCTTATGGCTTCAACTTCAGCCTCTCTTAGTTAACTGAGTGCATTCACCTATCTAGGAAGTGCATATACATTTTCACCCATTATGAAGGTATATAATGAAATTCGTCTTAAATCAGACTCAAGTTCATGACTACAAGATAGAAAGGGTTAAGTGCCACAGAGCGGGTATATAAGAATTGTCCTGGGAGTCAGGAAATTCTACTTTTGCATACATGCTACCTTCCCTTCTAGAATGGAAACGACCAGAGCACATAGGCTGTTTTAGACCTGCAACACCTGGCTAAGGAGGCCTGATCGTTCATTCAACAATTTACCAATTGTTCAAGATTACAAAGTTTAACAAGACATGATGGAGGTCAAGAAAATAGACACATAAACAAATGACAGCAACACCTTGTGATCAGTGCTAATGACAGCACTTCGGACAAATCGATTCGAGATGCCCAGAGGACGAAGCGAGTAATCCTAACACACGCAGCAGGCACCCACTGGCTGAACGGAATACATTAAACGAATGACCTTACCGAGGGAACTCAGTTTGGCGTTAGCCACGGCGCAACAAACAGGTACCACGAGACCAAAGCTGCACGGAGCCCAGGATGTCTGGGGCTGCTGGCTTTGGGTGCCAGCACCACCTGCATTCAGGCAACACACGTGCACAGAGCACCCACTGTGAGCCAGGCGTGGCGCCAGGGTGACCACGGCGGGGTCCCCACGGTAGGGTCTCGCGGCCACCCCAGCAACCTGGAGAACAGACGAGGAGGGCTTTCCATATGCCACTTCTAAGTAAGACCTTGGAGGAATAAAGAGGTCCCGATGACACCTCGAAGTCAAATGCGGAGCCCCGCAACCCGCGGGCAGTGCGCCCCCGCGGAGCCGGGGAGGGGGTAGGTCAGCCCTCCGGGAAGCCTCAGCCAAGACTCCAAGGACCTCGCAGCTCCCCTAACCCCAGCCCCAAGCCCACCCAAAAAAATCAGAACTCACCGGAGGACACGGGCGCTTGTCACCGCGAGGAAATCCTAGCCCAGGTCAAAGGCCGACTTCTACTAAACCCCCTAACCCTGGATCTAATCCACTCGCTCCTTCCTCGTTACAACCGAACCCGCGGAGCTGAGGCGCTTGAGGAGCAGCCGCCTCCTTCAATCGCCGGCTAGGAGCTCGCCTGGTGGGCGGGGCCGTGCCGGCTCGGGGCTGGGCGAGGAGGCGGAAGTCTCCGCCTTCCTCAAGCTTGGTTGAGACGTCCGCCTGCAGTTGCAAAGGTACTGCTGTTTGAAAGCGGGCGCCAGAGGTGGCGGGAAATTGCCCCTGCGCGCCCATTGGCGGATTCGCGAGCCAATTGCAAAAGGGTTTACTCTGGGGTGGGCGGGCTTTTGGTTGCCTAGAGACGCCGAAGCATCTGGCCTTAGAAGAGGCTGCGCTGGGCTTACAGGGAGGGACCTCTCGCCCCTTTGGTGCCGAAGGACACTGGAGCTGTGAGTCGTGCCTCCCGCGCGTCAGCACACAGAATCCCACAGCTGCCCCACTGCACTCTTGCCTTGGAGGTTTCTCCATTTGCCCTTCTTGTCCTCTAAAAGGGCTTGCTTTCCCATCACCTGACACCCTGAGATGTTTTCCTTCCTTATCTAGCTTGCTAGGTCCCGCCTTGTTTAAATTTGTGTTTCTTTAATTATAAGATGGCACATCTTCCCACGTGTCTATTCACCACCTGAATTTCCTCACACAATTTTCCGCACACAAAATTGTTTACTTAGTGTACTATGAGTTGAACAGGCAATAAGTCTGGGGAAAGTGAACGTGTGAAAAAGGATCTATCAAGGAAAGTTCCAGGAGAGAAGAGGAGGAAAGAGCTCGACAGGCAGGTTGATCAGCATGAGAGTACAGTGTGAAGGCCAAACCGGCAGAAGTGAAGGATTATTTAGAAGTAAGACTGGAGAAGTAAGCAGGAAGGAGGTGGTCCATAAAAAAGCATGAATCCTGGAAGAATAGGAAAGGCATTCTACGCAGGCAAGGTATGGTGTGCACAAGGAATGAACTTAACATGTCCAGAGAAATACAAGCAGACAGGCATTCTGGGGTAACAAAGACAAGTGTGGGGAAAGAGAAAAAAACTGCCAAAGATCTTGAACGCTGGACAGGAGATTATTTGTGAAATGCTGGGTCAATGTTTGCCTTGCATGTTTCAAACAGACACACCTGTGAGCTGGGTGAGGCATTTCAAGGAAAAACGTCACGTTTGTTGATGAGATGGGGTCCCTGCTACTAACAACAATGTATAAAGGTGGAGCTAAACCATCATTTCTCCTCTTTCCTTCCTTCTCTTTGATATCAAAGCTATCAGGCCAAAGCAATGCCATCACGAAAGTGCTATCCAAAATTATGTCATTGGGGAGTGCTATCCTCAAAGGAACACTGAACTTAAAGAGGATTTGAGTTCAAGTTGCATCTCACCTACCTACTAACTTTTGTCCACAACAATTTAACCCTCGAACACCTCAAAGTCGTTGTCTGAAAATAGGAATGATAAGACCTACTTCTCAGGATTGTGGGAAAAATGAAATAAGATGAGATCATGTGAAAGAGCTTTTAAATGTAGAAACACTAAATATTGTTTTCTATTGTGTTTCTATGTTCTATGGCTTATTGGACTAGAGTACACATTGGAGTCTGAGGTAGTAAGGAAAAACCAGGAAGGTATAATTTCCATGACCCAAACAGTAGGGTGCTCTGGGAGTGGATGACAGAGAAAGACAAAGGTGAATGTGTGCTGAGGGCAACAGGAGCTCATGGAATAGGACAAACAAGGAGCCTACCCAAAGGATATGGCTTTGTGAGAACAGGACAAAAATAAGAAGATAGGAACAGGAATGCTTGGAAAAGAACTGAGGAATATAGGGCCACTATTTGTAGCTCATTCATTCAACAATATTTTCTGAACATCTACTTTGTTCTAAGCACTAAGCACTGTGCTAGAAGCTCATTTAGTATTGACATGTGGGTCAGAATGCCAACCCTGCTCAATCCCTTCCTATAGAACCTGTGCCTGCTCACAGCCATTATGACCTCACCACCATCACCACCCTACCACCCCCAGTTCTGCCAGACCTGACTGAATCGAGGGATAGCATGAGACCCAAGCTGGACCAATCATAGTCTCTTCCTAGATAACTAAAATAAGACTCCCTGGAACTAAGTAAGGTGAGAGCCACATAGAAGAGAAACAGATTTATTACATTTGTCTGTGTTTATGGGAAATACGCTGTCTCCATAGCTGTATCATATATATGGTAGAGCCTAGACTGAAGATCATGAAATTCTGCCGCTGAAAGCCATGGATCTTGCCTGGTTCCTGTACCTTGAGAAGCTGGACAGTTCCATTTTTCCTTGGATTCTATGAAACCTGAACCTAAAAATACCTTTTGACCTGAGCTGGCTTGGGTCATGATGGAATACTGTTCCCCAAAATTTCATGTCCACCTGGAACCTCAGAATGGGACTTTATTTGGAAATAATAGGGTCTTTTCAGATGTAATTGGTTGATATGAGATCATTCTAGATCCAGGTGGGCCCTAAATCTAATGATCTTTTACTAAAGCAATCAACTTGTAAATCCTTTGGAACTTGCTTATACTTTATGGAAATGTGCTGGCTCTGAATTTGTTCTATTTAAATAACACATTATCAAGGCAAGTGTGAAAAATTACTTATGTTTTTTTGAAAAAATTTTAGAGCAGTATTTTGGAATATAAAATCATGTGAATGAGATCATATTCCTCTCTTAAAAGTAAGTGAATAAACAATTCCTATTATTCCTATCCAGTTCTTTCTTTTCTCCCTACCAAAAAAAGAGGTGTGCTGTATAAAAGATATGTGGGACAGCAGGCTTTTGCCTCTTTGGTCAAAAGAGTGTGAGATCCAATTGCCTGGATTTAATGTTTAGGATTTACAATCATAACAGGGTTTTTAATCGGAAAACCAGTAAAATCTATCAAAAGTGATATTGATCATTTGATAAAGATCCAAAGCTACAAGAATTATATTTGCACATGGAATACAGACCCACCCAAATGCCAAGAGATGCTCAGACCATTTAACTTCTGTTTTTGAAACACTCAGTAGTTTAAAGAAGAAGTACCAAAACAAGATTATAAAATTGGTGTATGTTTTAAATGTTTACATGTTTAATGCATATTGACAAAATACAGTCTAATATGATACCATTCCAAAGAAAATTACAGAATTTATTAAAAAATTCATGTATTTGAATTCTTTGATAGTATAGTCCAGTCATGGGATATATGTTTAAAGTTGTTTGATGTACATCTGTCTTAGATCTGGTTCCCAGATGAAAAATCAGGTGCACATGAGATTTTAAGGAAGAACTTTCAAAAGCAGCCAGTAATGGAGTGAGGAAGATGGTCAGGGAAGGGGAAAGGCCATGCAAAGATGTGATTTCAGGAGAAATGCCTGCCCCAGGGTGATCCCCCAAGAAGTGTGTGATTGGGACAGAACCAAAGGGACTGAGCTGTCACACTCTTGCCCTAGTGGTGGTTGGGTGGGAAGGGCAAGAAGTAAGCTCACAGGCATCCCTGGCTCTTGGGGAAACCACCTGCTCCACTAGCCTGAGTCTGTCCTCAGGATGAACAGAGTGATGGTGCAGGCAGTTAGAAGCAAAACACACAGGAGCCAGGGGAGGGGTAGACTCAAATGGTTTAAGGGACCCCAGGGTATCTGGGCAGAGCATTGACTGTGTCTCCTACAACATCCTTGTTTGCCATCTTTTGATCTTGTCAGTGAATATGAGGGGATGATATCAAGCATTTCCATTTGAGGCCCTTTAAGAATGTGAGGCCTCATGCAGCTCATCCAATTGACCCTTCTTAGTCCTAGCATGATAGGACCTAGGACCACCAAGATGATCCTGCCACCATGTCCTGTGGAAGCTGCCAAGTGTTAAAGTGGCAATCTTCCTGAAATCTCCTGACATATCTAGGTTTTTACCCCCAAACTTTTTTAAATTAAATTTTTTATTTTGAGAACATTTCACTTCCAAGAAATAATATTGGGAGATCTCTTGTTAAGTTCTGCCCATTTTCCACTAATGATAACATCTTGCAAAACTATGGTACAATATCGTACCCAGGATATCCACATTGATACAATCAGAATAAAAAGCAATTCCTTCACCAAAAGGATGCCTCATGTAGCCGTATTATAATTGTACTCACTTCCCTCCCTTCTACTGATTCCCTCTTTAATCCTTGGTCTGTTGGGGCTGCTCTAACAAAATACCATGACTTGGGTGGCTTGCCAACAATGGAAATGTATTTCTCACAGTTCTGGAGACTAGGAAGCCCAAGACCAAACCATCAGCAGATCTGTTGTCTTATCTGCCTGTTACCTGGTTCACAGATGGCACCTCCTATGCGTCCTCACATTATGGAAAGGCCAAGGCAGCTCTCTGAGGCCTGTTTATAAGAGCACTAATCTAACCACTTCCCAAAGGCTCCACCTCCTAATATCATCACATCGATGATTAGGTTTCAGCATATGAATTTCAGGGGACACAAACATTCGGACCATAGCAACTCCTAAACTGTTCTCTGTTTCTATAACTTTATCATTTCAAACATGATATATTAATGTAGTTATACAGTATATAACCTTTGAGGACTGGCATTTTTCACTTTTCATAATTCTCTGGAGATTCATTCAAGTTATTGCATTTCTCAATAGTTCTTACTTTTTATTGCCGAATAGTGTTCCATGGTATAGATGTAACACAATTTGTTTAACCATTACCCATGGAAGGATCTAAGTTGTTTACAGTTTTGGGTTATTACAAACAAATCTTCTATGAATATTCTTGCACAAATTTTTGTATGAACATAAGTTTTCAATTTTCAGTGATCAGTGCCCAGGAGTGCAATTGCTGTGTTGGATGTTAGTTGCATGTTCAGTTTTTTTAGTTAACTGCCAAACTGTTTTCCAGAGTGGCTGTACTATTTTATATTCCCACCAGGAACCTATGTGTGATCTATTTTTATCCCCTCCTAGCGAGCATTTGCTGTTGTCACTATTTTTCATTTCACCCATTCTGATAGGTGTATAGTGATAGCTCATTATGGTTTTAATTTCCCTGTTGGCTAATGATACTGAACATATTTTTATGTAATTATTTGCCGTATATTTATCTTCTTCAGTGAAAAGTCTGTCCATTTTCTAATTAGATTTTTTCTTACTGTTGAGTTTTGAGAGGTTTATACTCCAGATACTTGTCCTTTGTTAGATATGTGGTTTGCAAACATTTTGTCCCAGTCTATAGCTGGTACTTCATCCTCTCAACAGAGTTTTCCACAGAGCAAAAATTTGTAATTTTGATGAAGTCCAATGTACCCATGTTTCCTTTTATGGATCATGTCAAATCTAAGAACTTTTGGCCTAACCTTATATCCTGGAGATTTTCTATGTTTTTATCCCAAAGGTTTAATAGTTTTATGTCTTACATTTAAATCTATAATCCATTTGGGTTAATTTTCATGTAAAGTGTGAGGTTCACTTTTTTGCCTACAAATGTCCAATTGTTCCAGCACCATTTTATTCAGTGCCTATCTTTTGTCCATTGAGTTGTTTTGTACCTTTGTCAAAAACCAACTGGACATATTTGGATGGTTCTGTTTCTGGGTTCTCTATTCTGTTCCATTGATCTATGAGGCTATCCCTCCACCAATACCATACAGTCTTTTTTCTTTTTTAAGTAGGACTTATTTTACTTATTTATTTATTTATTAATAGAGACAGGGTCTCGCTCTTGCTCAGGCTGGTCTCGAACTCCTGTGCTCAAGCAGTCCTCCCATGTTGGCCTCCCAGAATGCTAGGATTACACGCATGAGCCATAACCCCTGGCCCATACAGTCTTTATTGCTGCAACTATTTAAGTTGTCTCAAAAATCATAGGATGATTCCTCCCACTTCCTTCTTTTTCAAAATTGCTTTACCCTTTCTAGTTCCTTTGTCTTTCCACATACATTTTAGAATAATCTTATCTATATCTACAAAATATCCTGCTGAAATTTTGGTAAGAGTTACATTAACTCTGTGTATTAATTTGGGGAGAGTTGACATCTTGATTATGTCAAATTTTCTAATCTATGACAACAGTATGTCCCTCTATTTAGGTCTTCCTTGATTTCTTTCATCAGTAATTTATAGTTTTCAGCATACATCTTGTACATATGTTGTTAGATTTACATGTACTTAGTTTCTTAGCAATGTAAATTATATTGCATTTTAAATTTTGGTATCTGTGTGTTTATTGCTAATACATAAAAGTACAACTGAATTTTGTATATTTATCTTATATCCTCTGAACTTTGCTAAACCCACTTATTAGTTCTAGAAGATTTTGGGGGGTTTTGTTTTGTTTTGTAGATTCCTTGGGATTTCATATATGGACAATCATGTCATCTACAAATAGGGACAGCTTTATTTCTCCCTTTCTGGTCTGTATGTCTTTTAATTCCTTTTCCTGTCTGATTGCACTGGCTAGAACTACCAGTACTATGTTGACTAAGAATACTGATAAACATCATTGCCTCATTCCTGATGTTAGGGGAAAAGAACTCAGGTTATCACTGTCAAGTACAATGTTAGCTGTTGGTTTTTTGTAGGTGATCTTTAGCTGTTCTTAGTTTACTGGGAATTTTTATCATAAATGGGTGTTCAATTGTGTCAAATGCATTTTCTGCATCAATTGATGTGTTAATGTGATCTTTTTTTCTTTAGCTTGTTAATATGGTGGATTAAGTGATTGATTTTCAGGTTGCTTGGGCCAGTGGAGAATCCCAATAGAAGATCAGGGAGAGGGAGCAGAAAAAAATTCAGTTTATTAATACCCATAGCTGCCTCTCTGTTGAGTCACCAGGGCTGGTTATATTCCTCCACCATAGGCCACAGCTCCCAAAAGGCAGCCCTTGCACACAACTCTCTCCAGATTCTGTTAACTTCTCCCTCTTTTTTCCCCTTCACTGGCCCCAGGGCACTTTGTTCTCTCTCTGGGTTTTCCTATACTTTGCCCACACCTAAATAGTCCCTTTATTAAACTCTCCTAGAATTACCCAATTTGAGTGAGCCATGTTTCCTGCCAGGACCATGATACATCCTACAAATGACAAAGTTTCAAATCTCAAACACCAGGCATATTATGTCAGTTTTCACAGAGCATTTATTTTTTTAAAAAAGTCACAAGTATTTATAGAAAGGGATTTCCACTTTAAGACAGATGAAGATAAAAATGTGAGATTAAAATAGCATGCAGACATTTCTTTTGTTCTTTTGTTTGTTTTAACTGTGTCTGTGGTATTTGTAAGTGCAGTAGTTGCTTATCTAACTACTATACCATTACAATCAAATACTGATTATCCATGTGCACTGCTCACACCATTTAAACTCTTGCATCTATTTGTATCAGGCACTCTTTCTTGTTATCTAGTTAATATTCTGCACAGCCAAACTGAGACCACAGGCCTGCCCTGTCTCTAATAAAAGTGGTTAGATTACCCATAAATTTCAATTATCCACACCCATGTTGATCCTCTTTATGAGGACAAATGATCAAGAACTAAAGAATATGGAAAACTGATGAAAATGCATTATTTCCTAGTTGTATAAAAGGAAACAAACCTATCTAAAAAATCAATGGCAGTAGAAATAAAATTATAAGCTTTACATAAAAATATTAGAGTTCGGTGTGCTTGGTTACTGTTGATTTCTATCTGAAAATTTCCCATATTTTATTTAAAATTTAGCAACTATATCACAATCACAAAGATTAACTTGTATCTACATAGCCAAAATGAAATAGAATTAAGGCAATTGTCCAGATAACTCAGGATAAAAACACACACACACACACACACACACACACACACACACACACACACATACACACACACTCTATAGAATTGCCCATATCTCCATATGCAAAGGACTGAAGCAGTTTTCAGCTACTCAAAACAAACCAAATCTGCTTCTACCATCATTAACTATATTATTCCAAAGTTGTAGACTGAAAGGTTTGGGATCTAGACTATGTGAATGTTGATCTCAGTTATGCCATTCATTCTGTGAATATAGGCATGAAGAAAAAAACTTAATTTTTTACCTTAACTATACAAACTGGTATCACTGTCAACCCCTAAGAGATGAAAAACTTACTTTTCACAGACTCATACTATGTTAGGACTGAAGTGGACCTCTGAATTCACCTAATCCAGCTCCCTCACTTTGTAGACAAGGAGACTGGAATCCAAACAGGTACAGCAACTTGCTCAAGGTCACATTGATGAGCCCCAGCCCAGTGCTTGGCTTAATTACACTATCAGCTTCCCAGTGGGTCTAGATGTGGCAAACCTTTGCAACTGCTTCATTCATATGTTTTCTCCATTCTGCATTTTGTCTGATCATACCTAGAAGAGGTGCTAAGCGCACATGTAGGTGACAGACTATGATTCAGTGGCAGCCAATCAAGAGGAAATTCCCCTATACTTTCACATAAATTCTGTACTTTCACTAAGAATGAAACCAATTTGGATGTTGAATATGAGGAACACAGGTTTTGTCTGCCATCTTTTAAATCCAAGTACTCATGAGCTTTTCTCTTAGCAGGAAGAAGGGAAGAATATGATAAAATCAGAAATGACTGGTAGATTTGGCCTCGTGAGCTTCTCACATGCTGTATACAAACAGTCCTAACAGCAAAGATTGAGAAATACAAGGCCAGAGAATTTGGGCCCCAACCCTTTAATCAGCAAATGCAATGAAACAGACCGATGCTTTCAGTGGCTTTTGATTTGATTCCAGTGACATAGACACAGTCTGACTTCAGTGTCATATTTATTTTAATATTGCAGTGGAAAATGCTACTAAACAGAAAATGTAACAAAGTCAGTATCAAGCAAATTGCTTCTCATCTTTTGTAGCAAGAAAAACTTTTTTTTGGCAAATGGTTCCATAGTTATAGAACATGAAGACACATAGAATTAATCTCCCCAATATGAAAGTGTCCCCAAATTATCAAGTTGAAAGGCACATACCACTGCCCTAGCAGTTCATTCAAGTTGTCTTTAGCATGTGAAATTTTAGTTGTGCTTTTAGCTTGTTATCACTGTTATATGACCTTAAAAAGTGACATCCGTGCATATGTATAATTTCTTTTCAAATAGACCGATCCTCTTCCTCTTTTCTGATTTTCATTTCTAAAGATCAAATTTTGTTCTTTGTTTTATAAAGGACCTAGTCCATGTTGGTTTCAGAAAGATGTTTGGTTTCACAGTTTGTGCTCTATTTTATGTAGAAGCAAAGTTTGAATTAACTTTGTGTCCTGACACAAAATGGGAGTTTCTTGATGGTGCTTCAATATTGTCATTTGTTGGAATTCGAAAGTACCGGGTTAGTATCTTTTCTCACTGGTTGTTTAAGGCTTACTTCACTTCCAGAAGAGATGATTGGCAAACTATTGTCCATATGGTATCTGATAAGGTGGCCGACATTATCAAATACATGATCCTTGGTCCTCACCTTGAAAAGGAAGTACAAATATATTTAGGTTTAGGTTAAATAATAGTTCGTCTGAAAAATATAAACAATTTGGGGGAAAATTAGATATATATCCCTATAATAGACATTTTGATGAATAAAGAAATTACTTGTTAACTCTGTATCCCTCAGTAAACAATTTTCTCATTCCTCATTACCACTTTAAAGCAACTATCCCTACAGGTTAGGAAAATGGTAAGTGCTTGTCACTTAATTCAAGTCAATGCAGTCAGCTTCTTTGCGATGTTATTGTTTGATATATTCTACCACGTCACCATTTCTATAAATATTTAACTGGTTTGTATACAGGCATGAATCCCAGGATTATAATTAACTTCCATCAAGCAGATTGCTTCTATTAATACGTTACCCTGTCTCTGTAGGAGTCAGTCCCTTCGGAAGTCATACCTCTCCTTGGAGGCTCAACGCTCCTGTCTCCTCCAAAAAGCCTCCTGAGGCCTTTCTAATAGGCATTCATGTCTTCTTCCTGCAGACTTCATAGTAGCTGAGTCACAGATATTTGTTGCATGTAACTTACCGCCTGCATGCCAAAGGAATTCAATTTTCCTATGCCATGCCTTCTGTGGAATTTCCTCCCTACTATTAGTGTATCCTCACCCTATGCATAGACAGAAGATACATTACTATCCACCATCGCTCCACTGGCTTGGCAGCCTACTCATACCTGTGCTCCTGTTTTGACAGTGGCTGGGAACAATCCAAGAGAGGAAAGGCATGCAAGGCAGCACCTTGCTATGATGTAATTCTGCTAGTCTCCTACAAGGGATTCTTTGAGTTTTGTCCAGATGTTGGTTTCCAACGTATTAAAAACACACATATTTATTGGAATAATTCACAGAATTTGGATATGGACTATGAATTATATAACAGTATTATATCAATGTTAAATTTCCTGGTCTTGATCATTATACTGTGGCTATGTAAGAGAGGATCTCTGTCCTCAGGAAATACACATTCAAGGACTTGGGGCACAGTGGTTCCAACTTGCTCTCGAATGGCTCCAAACCTTGAAGAAGTTTTCCATCTCCTCCATCTTATCCCCAACCCTCATCAAATCAGCTGACCAATCCTGCCAGTCTATGTTCTACATTCCAACTCACTCTGCCCTCCTTTTGTTACTTCTCCTGCCTCCATTCTGGTTCCGGCTCTCACTACTTTTTACCTAGAAGCCCCTAATTATTTTCTCTGTTCCTGGCCTTTCCCCTCTCTCTACTGATCCTGAGATAAAAAGTGACATCCGTGCATATGTATAATTTCTTTTCAAATAGACCGATCCTCTTCCTCTTTTTTGAGTTTCATTTCTAAAGATCAAATTTTGTTCTTTGTTTTATAAAGGACCTAGTCCATGTTGGTTTAAGAAAGATGTTTGGTTTCACAGTTTGTGCTCTATTTATCTAGAAGCAAAGTTTGAATTAACTTTGTGTCCTAACACAAATGGAGTTTCTTTGATGGTGCTTCATATTGTCATTTGTTGGAATTCAAAGTACCGGGTTATTATCTTTTCTCACTGGTTGTTTAAGGCTTACTTCCTTCCAGAAGAGATGATTGGCAAACTATTGTCCATATGGTATCTGATAAGGTGCCGACATTATCAAATACATGATCCTTGGTCCTCACCTTGAAAAGGAAGTACAAATATATTTAGGTTTAGGTTAAATAATAGTTCGTCTGAAAAATATAAACATTTGGGGAAAATTAGATATATATCCCTATAATAGAATTTTGATGAATAAGAAATTACTTGTTAACTTGTATCCCTCAGTAAACAATTTTCTCATTCCTCATTACCACTTTAAAGCAACTATCCCTACAGGTTAGGAAATGGTAAGTGCTTGTCACTTAATTCAAGTCAATGCGTAAGCTTCTTTGCGATGTTATTGTTTGATATATTCTACCACGTCACCATTTCTATAAATTTTAACTGGTTTGTATACAGGCATGAATCCCAGGATTATAATTAACTTCCATCAAGCAGATTGCTTCTATTAATATGTTACCCTGTTCTGTAGGGTCAGTCCTTCGGAAGTCATACCTCTCCTTGGAGGCTCAACGCTCCTGTCTCCTCCAAAAAGCCTCCTGAGGCCTTTCTAATAGGCATTCATGTCTTCTTCCTGCAGACTTCATAGTAGCTGAGTCACAGATATTTGTTGCATGTAACTTACGCCTGCATGCCAAAGGAATTCAATTTTCCTATGCCATGCCTTCTGTGGAATTTCCTCCCTACTATTAGTGTATCCTCACCCTAGGCATAGACAGAAGATACATTACTATCCACCATCGCTCCACTGGCTTGGCAGCCTACTCATACCTGTGCTCCTGTTTTGGTTTTTTTTTTTTTTTTTTTTTTTTTTTTGAGACAGAGTCTCACTTTGTTGCCCAGGCTAGAGAGTGCCATGGCATCAGCCTAGCTCACAGTAACTTCAAACTCCTGGGCTCAAGAGATCCTTCTGCCTCAGCCTCCTGAGCAGCTGGGACTACAGGCATGTGCCACCATGCCCAGCTTATTTTTTCTATATATATTTTTAGTTGGCCAATTGATTTCTTTCTATTTTAGTAGAGATGGGGTCTCACTCTTGCTCAGGCTGATTTCGAACTCCTGACCTTGAGCAATCCACCCGTCTCAGCCTCCCAGAGTGCTAGGATTACAGTCATGAGCCACTGTACCCAGCCTGTGCTCCTGTTTTGAGAGTGGCTGGGCACCATCCAGGAGAGGAAAGGCATGCAAGGCAGCACCTTGCTATGATGTAATTCTGCTGGATCTCCTACAAGGGATTCTTTGAGTTTTGTCTAGATACTGGTTTCCAACATATTAAAAACGCACATATTTATTGGAATAATTCACAGAATTTGGATATGGACTATGAAGTATATAACAGTATTATATCAATGTTAAATTTCCTGGTTTTGATCATTATACTGTGGCTATGTAAGAGAGGATCTCTGTCCTCAGGAAATACACATTCAAGGACTTAGAGGAAAGGGGCACAGTGGTTCCAACTTGCTCTCGAATGGCTCCAAACCTTGAAGAAGTTTTCCATCTCCTCCATCTTATCCCCAACCCTCATCAAATCGGCTGACCAATCCTGCCAGTCTATGTTCTACATTCCAACTCACTCTGCCCTCCTTTTGTTACTTCTCCCGCCTCCATTCTGGTTCCGGCTCTCACTACTTTTTACCTAGAAACCCCTAATTATTTTCTCTGTTCCTGGCCTTTCCCCTCTCTCTACTGATCCTGTACATGAATGTCAAATTAATCTTCCTAGGTCAGAGGTTGTAAACTGGTCACTCTCTGGCCAAATACACCAGATGTTTTAGTTTGCTAGGGGATGGGGCGGTCACCCATAGAGAGATCTAAGTATTTTTAATTAAAAATAGATTTCCGCCGGGTGCAGTGGCTCACGCCTGTAATCCTAGCACTCTGGTAGGCTGAGGCGGGCGGATTGCTCGAGGTCAGGAGTTCGAAACCAGCCTGAGCAAGAGCAAGACCCCGTCTCTACTATAAATAGAAAGAAATTAATTGGCCAACTAATATATATAGAAAATTAGCTGGGCATGGTGGCGCATGCCTGTAGTCCCAGCTACTCGGGAGGCTGAGGCAGAAGGATTGCTTGAGCCCAGGAGTTTGAGGTTGCTGTGAGCTAGGCTGACGCCACGGCACTCACTCTAGCCTGGTCAACAAGCGAGACTCTGTCAAAAAAAAAAAAATAGATTTCCTATAAAACTCTGGCTTTGTGGCTTCTTTGGAAAAATCAAATCTGGCCTCACTGGGCCTCTGCTCCACGTGGCAGCAACTGGCTCTGGAGCCAAGTGGTGGCCATCCCCCTTACAGAGGACATGTGCTTTCCAGTCCAACACAGCTCACTGCACCGTATGCTCACTCCTTCTCCTGTCCAGCTTTATTCACTTACAGTACTGGCCCGGCCCTACGGACATTCGTGAGCATTCTGCTGCTATGAGCTTGTCTACTTTAGATACCTCATATATCTGAAATAATGCTGGTATTTGTTCTTCACAATTTGTCCTGCATTGTATGACACTGCATTATATGACAGGATTTCCCTTTTTATGGTTAAATAGTATTCCATCGTGTGTATTAGGATATGCTATATTTTATCTATTCAGCTTTTTATGGACCTTTGTTTTCACTTCTTAGCTGTTGCAAATAATGCTGTAATAAACATGAAAAGTCACTTCAATATCCTAATTTCAACTATTTTGGATAATTACCCAGAAAGTGAGGTTGCTAGATCACACGTGGTAGTTTTATTTTTAATTTTTTGAGGAACTTCCAAACTGTTTTCCATAGAGGCTGCATGATTTCATATTCCCCCACCAATAGTACACAATGGCTCTGATTTCTCCTCATCCTTACAGATACTTATTAGTTTCTGGTTTTTTATAATGGCCATCTTAATGAGTATGAGGTGACACCTCACTGTAGTTTTGATTTGCATTTCCCTAATGATTAATGGTGTTAAGCACCTTCTCATATATTGTTGCTTGTTTGAATGTCTTCATTGAAAAGATGTCTATTCAAGTCCTTTGCCCATTTTTAAATTGGGTTATCTGACTTTTTTTTTTTTTGCTATTGAATTGTAGGAGTTCCTTATATATTTGGGATGTTAGCTCAATATCAGATGTATGGTTTCTAAACAGTTTCTCTCATTCTGTACCTTGCCTTTTCACTCTGTTGATTGTTACCTTTGCTGTACAGAAGGATTTTAGTTTAATGTAGTCCCACTTCTCTAGTTTTGCTTTTGTTGCCTGTGTTTTGGGGTCTTATCTAAGAAATTATTGCCAAGATCAACATTACAAAGTTTTTTCCTCCACATTTTCTCCTAGGAGTTTTATAGCTTCAGGTCTTATGTTTAATTCTTTAACACATTTAAGTTCATTTTTGTGTATAGTGAAAGACAGGGGTCCAATTTCATTCTTTTGCATGTGGATATCCAGTTTTCCCC